CCCAAGCAGCGCACTATAGCAGTGTGCCACCGGGCCGGCCCACAAGAGGGGTTTCTGAGGAGGAGGGGATCACATCTTGTCGAGCACCTCCTCAGTTCAGCACACCTTCACTCGTGTTATTGTTATGAGTGCATATGGTATAAATGCCAGGAGTCACATAGTTCTGGGTTCCTCCTCTTTCAAGATGTTTGGTCTTGTGTAAGTTACCCTCTCTGAGCCTTATCTCCTCCCCTGTAAAAAAGGGATAATCCTATTTACCTTGTGATCATTATGGGAACTAAGTGTAAGCATGAAGGTCAAGGGTCTGGAAAAATGCCTGCCAAGAGTAGGCACTCCACACAGGGAAGCTTTCCTATTTAGCAGGTTCTCTCTCCATTTCGCAGGGGGTAAGGATCTAACATTCAATTTGCACAGTGCTGTGACATTTTTCAAACCTTCCTCATATCTCATCTCATTTAACCCATTCTCCCAGCAGCTTTGAAGTTTGCCAAATAGATGGTGGTCTCTCCACTGTAAAAATAAAGACAGAGGTACAGAGAGGTTGAGTGAGCTGGAAATATCAGACAGCTAGTTAATGGTAAAAACAAAACTAGAAAACAATATTTTTATTTATATACTTAAACTAAGATACTTTTCCAAAAACTCCCACATGCATTTTTTTAAAATAGCTATCATCTTACAGTTTTCGGTTAACACCGATATTGTCTTACCATGTTACCTTGCAGCTCCATTTTTCTTTCAGCCAAACACACACGCACACACACATACAATATTTTTCCTGAATCAAGAGTGAAATTGTTACTGTTTGGCCTTATTCAGCCTCTTGTGTCTATCCTCTAAGTACCCCCACCAGGATCCAAAATGCCCCTTTTGCCCTTTGTTGCTTTCTGGCACAGGAGGAGCCCCTCCCCCTCTTTGTTCCACTTGACCTGAGCACCTTAGGGCAGCCCCTTTCCAAAAGAGCCATTTCTAATTGGCTGTCGGCAACCTCTTTCATCACTGAGCCTCAGCCTGGCAATGTGAGCCAGCTGATCCCGGCCCTCCCTGTAAAGCCAAGAGGTCATCCTCTCTCTGTATTGTTTACCAAGCAGTAGAGACTCCTCAGGGCTGGCCTCTACAGGCAGCCTTGATTCCTTAGGAGAGGAGGCCAGAAAGTAGGCAGCTGGATATGTGAGGTCAAACACACACACACACAAAGAGGGCACTTCAAAGAGTTTGTGGAAAAATAGAATTAAAAGATAATACGAATCTTTCCATGGACTTTTTGAAGTAACCTCATATGTATGTACAGTATGTGTGTCTGTGCAATTCCTATTGTTTATTGAATAGCTAATATTGTTCTAGACACTTATGTTGCATTGTCTCTCCTTTAATCTTCATAGCTACCATTATCCCCATTTCACAGATGAGGAAACTGAGGCTCATAGATATTATATGTTTCTTCCTCAATGCATGATTATTCAATGAGACCACTTTTCTCCATGTCCCAACATTCTCTCTGTTCAGCTGAGAAGTCAAGAACAACCGATTACCAAAAGTCTCATGAAGTATTTAATAAGTATCATAGTGTATGTTTTGTTGACCAAAATGTGTTTATTTTTACAATGAAAAGAATTGGAAATTGTATTTATTACTTAATTCTGGGTGTGAGGTTTTTTTTTTAATTTGGTAAAAAATGATTATTCAAATGTTACTTATTTGTACATTTATTCTCTGCCTTGTTCCAGTGAAGATTTAAGCAACTTTCTTGACTTGGATAAAACATGTGGTCTGTATTGCACAAGCGGACCCCATCCATGTTCCAAATAACGCATGTGTATAGTCAGCTGCCAGCTTTAGCCAAAGGAGCCATTACCTGCCTTTTGCACACTGAGGTTTTTCTTTTCCTTATAATTTGACTCCATTCATCAGAAGCACAAATTAAATATAAGTTTCTGGATTTAAAAAGATTTCTTCGGTTCCCTAAATGTTCCCCAAGTCATGCAGTCATGACTCAGACTTAATTCTCTTTATTCTCTTCCAGAAAGATGAAAGGGTAGGAAAGAGGGAACACGACCACATCATGTTCACAAACAGTCGTCAGTAAACAAACATGGAAAAAATGTCCACACTCATAAATAATTAAAGTAATGCAAATTAAAACAACAATGAGGTCTAATTTTTCACCTATTAAATTAGCGATACATTTTTAAAACGATAAGGCTAAAGAGAACCGTGAAACTGATAATGCATCCATTGCTGGTAGTTGGTGTAAATTGGAAAGCAATTTGGTAGAATGAATAAAAAGCCTTAAAAATGCTTATGTCTTTTGACACAGTAATTTCACTCTTAGGGTTTCCATAAAAGAAATAGTACAAAAGAAAAAGAAACTACAATATTTATCACTGGTATTTAGAAAGTTGAAAAAAAATTAGAAACAACCTAAACGTCCAATAGTATTGGAATGGTTTATTGAAGTAATTGTATATCTGCTCAATAAAATATTATGTATCCATTAAAATTATTATAATGACTATGTAGCACCATGGAGATGCTTATAATATATCGGGGAAAAGCAGGATATAGAATTATGCATGAGCTGTGATTGCAAATAATTTTTAACTGTCTGCATGTGCACAGAGTGAATATGTAAAAATGGAAATAGCTGTGTAAGTAGTAGGATGAAAGATGATTTTTCCCCACTATTGTGAATTATTGTTATCTGTGTAATTTAACGTGAATGATTTTGGTCTCATTCTAGTCCTTAGAGTCATAGAGAACTAAGTTAGCCTTCTATTTCCTCCATCTCTATCAGGAGGATAGCTCAGAATGTCCCACAGAGAGCTCTGGAGCAGGCCTCTTAGCTGTGGGGTTTGAGAGAGCACAAGTGCCAGAACCCTAATACCATCCCCCAACCATACTTCTCCCTGCAGGACATCACGGAGAATGGCTGTGCCCCCTCCATGGAAGAGCAGCTGCCGAAGACTGCGCCATCCCCACTGGTGGAGGCCAAGGACCCCAAGCTCCGAGAAGACCGGAGACCGATCACTGTCCACTTTGGACAGGTATGTACCTTGGCCCTTCTACTGGTCTGTTTTGTTTTGGGGTTTATTTTATTTTATTTTTATTTTTTTGTTTTTAGCAGAAGTAGTAGCACGTGCAGCAGTTTTTCATTTTAGTTGTCTTTGGCAAAGCAACTTCATGAAGTTGTTCATATCTTCAAATGTTTATTTGGTGCAAACATTTTTTGAAGGTGAATTTTCAAAAATTTCAGGGAGGCAGCATGGCTGTGGTCATAAACTAGCTCAACTATTGAGTGAAGTCATTAAACGCAGCTGCTGCCTCCCCCACTCCAGGGCACTCCGTTAAGGTGCCTCTGTTAGCTAAGCATCTCATTAGAACACTTTAGCATCCCAGGCCCTTCTTTGCACCTTCAAATAAAAGGAAACAAGCGAAGTCTTAAAAAAAATCAATTAGGAGTTCTTTATTAATGTACTTCCTGAAAATCAATATTGCAAGTCGTGCTTCTCAGAGTAAACACCCGCGCTACGATTCTAAAGATCTGATTCTTTAACCAACTATTTTCAACAACCTGAGCATTTGAAAATTGTCTATTTGTTTGATTTTTTTTTCCATTAAGTAAAACATTGTACTTTGTATAGAAACTAAAAATGTTTAGTCGTTTCCTATCTGTGGTTATACTTTTCGTTGAAAAAGATTGTATACTCTCTCCTACTTCTCTTGAATTGACTCTTTTGATTAGCAAAAGTCATAATTTTTTTGGTTTATGAGAAATGTCTCTGCTAGAAAGATGTGGCTGTTAACACGAATTTGCAAGGTTATTTATACTTAAATCACCTGACTTCTTTAGCTATTTATTAGATGACACATGACTAAAATAGTCTTTATGACTTTTATCTTAAATGTAATTGCTATTTCATGACATAAAAGACCTAGAAACCTACATTTTAAATATTCCTATTTTTAACAGACATTTATCAAGAGCCTACTATGTACCAGGCATTGAGCTATTTAGAAATGAAAGGAACTAACAAAATCATTGCTGTGGGTTATTATTGTAAGGGGTGAGTTTGTTGGAACACAAGAATCATTCTTCGGTAATCAATATTCTCAGATAATATGTTCATAAATCTTTAATTTGGGGAGGTTCACCCCTTTTCTCATTTTACTCTTAAAAGGTGTGGTATAAAAATTGAAATGTAGTGCAAGAAAGGAGTATCCATGGGGCGGTGCTCATTTGTTTAATGATTGTCTTCAAATTGCATTGGCGTCTGCACCCCTGAAGAGCTGCTTCCTCCCCAGGCTCAGGCCCTGCTGGAGAAATCCGCACCCCAGTTCCCTGGCTGTGTTTGCTGAAAGCACAACCCCCTGGTTGTCGCCAGCATGGCATTCCAGAGTCAGCTTCCTGCTTTCCTTTGTCCTCATTCCTGCACACACTAACCTTCCCATGAAAGGAGCCCCTCGCTGGAGTTTGGAGCCCATTACAGAGAAAGAGGGGGAGGGGGAAGAGGGATTTCATGGTGTTAAACATTCCATTTTCGAAACACACAAAAAAGAGGCCCTATTTGAAATGGAGAAAGACCTTCTTTCCATTTCAGCAAGAAGTAGAGATGCTTTAATGTCATTCCCAGCTAAATACAGAATAAGAGTGTATGTGCACGCGGGTGGGGGATAAACAATTAAAAAAGCCACCCCAAACTCTGTTGAAATAAGAGCTGTCTGTGCCTTCACAGGTCTGCAAACTGGAGAGGATGAAAGTGGCTTTTTTTCCCCGTTTGTCACTTCCCTCACGTGGCTGCAAGCATTATGCAAGTGTACAAGAAGGCAGGATTTTTTTTAATGCATGCATGCGGATTAAGGTCAAGCCCCTAGTATCAGCCATGCAGTGGGCTCTCCCTTCCAGCTGCAGCCGCAGAGCCTACCCACAGCCACGAGATGCCTTAATTGAGACGTGCTGTCAAAGTGACAAACACATTTGCATACAGTCTACACTCTATTTATTTTCTCTGGAAAGGTCTACAGTCTGCTGTTGGTTGAACATTCTTAATCAGTTTGCTGTAAGTGAACTGCCAGCTAGCTCACTTGTGCCGGCCCCTTCTTCATTAGGTGACAGATTGGGGGGGCAGGGGATGGGCCAGGGAAATGGCAGACCTCTTTCTGTTAACTCTTTCCAGCTTTGCCCCCGTGGTAGGTTGTCCTTTAGTCCTTCCCCAGGTGCCTGGTTTGATGGACCCCTAACCATACAGGTAGCATTTCTAGAGCACCTACTATTGGCAGGTATGAGTTTTGGGGACTTGACATTCTTCCCAAAGAACAGTCTTTTGAGTTTCATTTCAGAAATTTTGCCACACTCTCCTACTATCTGTACTATTTTTTTTTTTTTTGCTTAATATTTTTCTTTAAACAGACTTAAACCTGACATCCATACCAACTTTAGCCTCATTTCAAGCGTTGACATTGGTAAAATCATAGGATTGATATACTAGTCCAATTTTTAAGTGTTCATCAAGGGATCACCTAAAACAGTCATGTGGCCCCAGTGGTATACATTCTCTTTCTGGAAAACAACAGATCCCCTAATATCTTATGTCATCTCTATCATAGGTCTTTAAGGAAGTGATCATTAGCCCCATTTTATGGATCCAGGGCTGGAGCTCAGACCTGAAGGGACCTGCCCAGGGCCACATTGCCAGCACAAAAACCCAGGACAGGACAGTCTAAGTTGAGCCCATGCCAACTCCCTCACCAAGCAAACAAAATTACAAGATATTTTGTCAACAGACTGGACTTCAGCTGTTCGATATGTCTGTTAAAGCTGATGTGTCACTGCAAAATATCTTCAGCCAGCCAGATAGTGCGTGCTAACCTAAGAAAAAGTCCTTGCCTTGGGTTTGCATTTGTGTGGATTTCATTCTTTAAGAACACTTAGCTTGCCAACAGGCAGAGACTGTTGAGACTGTTAAATTAATCTCTCCACCTTGCAAAGCTGGGACCTGTGCAGCTGGCAGGGGAACTCCATGGAGGCATCTGACAAGGTGGCCGGGAGCCTGACAAAGGCCATTTGCAGAGCCCTCGGACAGTAGCTCTGCTGTGGGGGCTGGCAAGAGGGGAGCTTAGTGTCGAGGGAAGAGCTGCCTCTGCCAGGGGAGAAAAGGTACTCTCTTGCCCTCTGCCTCAGTAGGGTTTCTCCTTAGAGGCAGTGACCATTCCTCCATTTAATTATGCAGATATTCATCAGATATTGAGACATACTGTGTGTAGGATAAATAAGTCTTTGATCCCCACCATTGTGGGGCATAATGATAGAGACAGATCAGCCAATGGACAGTCCCTACCGAGAGTGGCGGAGGCAGTGAGAGAGGTGAGCTCCAGGCACTCCGAGGGCCCCACATAGGCAGCCTCTTCACCCCAAGACCACTCTACATAGTCCTAAGTTGGACCCATAATTACAAGATATTTTGTCAACAAACTGAACTCACTAGCAATTCATTTGTTTTCTAAAGCACATATGTCACACCACACAGAGCTTGTGGCAAGCAAAATAAAGGGATTTTTAGTTGGCCTCTGCTTTCTTATCATGTATGGTTTCTTTGAAGAGTTCAAAAGTGTCAAATAACTTGAGAGTGACTGTTCCTACCTTGGAAAATGTTTAGGTTTAGAGAGTCTTCACATAACCATTTTCCCCCTCTCAAGTTTAGAATCAACTATGAAACAAGGCCCAGGAGACAATGCCGGCTTTTTTTATTGATAAGACTGAAAGGGGAATATTGCGTTAGACCTGAGGCCAAATGTTTGCTAAAACTTTGCCTCAGATTTTAAAAAACTGAGTTACTCCACACGGGATGAGTGGACAGCGGCGAGCCTGGCCAGGGGCACAGCTGCCCATAGCTCCTGGCAAGGAGGAGCTGCTGCAGGCGGAGGAAGGGCGATGGTGCAGGCTCACTTCCTTCTCCCAAACTCCAAGGGAGGTGCTCCTGTTCTGGGCAGGAGGGAGTGAGCGAGCACAGAGACAAACTGAAGACTTCCTCATGCTTTTCTCGCCTGGGAAGGGGATGGAAATTGCCTGCTTTCCATGGCTGTAGAAGGAGTGAGGGAGCAGTGTCCTCCCAGCAGGGCTTGGGCATCCTCAGCTAGAGCATCTTGCCTCGACCCCCTTCCCTTCCAGGGAATCGGCAGAAGTAGCACCCCATAGAAACCACTCTGCCCCTACATTTAGTAAGATGGACAGGCTAGTAGGGCTTTCACCTCTGTGCTCACTGAATTAAGTCTTCACCATCCGCTGGTAAGGAAGGAGATGTTCTGCCCGTTGTACAAATGAGGAAACCGGCTTGGACAGCATTTGCTGCAACAAGTAGCTAATTCCTTCTCCAAAGCCAGCAGCAGCACCTCCGCTTCTCTTGGAGGTGCGTAGCTGTCTCTCCTGGCTAGGGGAACTGGACTGGCTGTGAGTCAGTGATGCTGGATTCTCATCCTGGGTGTGGGCTGCCCAGGCTGTAGGCCTTGGCCAGGGACCAGCCCTCCCAGGAGCCCTTCGTTGACAGGGAGGATGAGGCTCTGCTGAGAACATGATGGCAAACCAGTTCTAGGACCCCCTTCTTTTTGTTGCTCCCAAATGACTGATCTGCAAACAAAGTAACGGCCTGCCGTCCAATCTGATATGTTTCCCAAAAGTACGTATTGAAAGGTTTCTCTATTCTTCTCCCATTTGAGCAAAGGTTTCTAAGCCTCTTTAAAGTTTGAAAAACTGGTTAAATCAAAGCCAAAACCAAGCACCACTGTTGCTTCCAGAGAGCTGCGACAGAGAGGTTTGACACCATCCCCAGGAGCAGCTTTTGGAATGTGGTTCCCTGCTAGCTTCTGTGTATGGAGAGTCCTGGCTTTAGAGGAATGAGCCAGGTCATTTAGTGCCAGTGCCCTGCTGGGCTGGAGAAGCCTCCCAGCCAGCAAATGCCTTCTCAGCACCCTTGACTCTGAGTGCCCTGAGAAATTCCTTCTGCCCCATTGAGCTTGGAAGTCACGCACAATTCCCTTCAATTCAGCCGTT